GACTGGAGAGCATGGAACCGGAAGAGAGTTCCACAAGTGAGAAATGCCAGAAAAGAAACTGTTAGCATTGAATTTACGATTAAATCTAGCCAATTCAACACCGAATTGATGACCTCTTGCCACCGGTCTTCTTTCTTTCTTTTTATGTGCCATGTCCTTTCAGGACGTAGGCAATCATGTCTCTCCACCTCCCTTTATCCCTTGCAGCTCTCAACAAGCTCCTTCCCTCTGTTTTCTCCTCCAGACCATGTTCTGTCATCCACTTACTTAAGCCCGCCAGATATGTCACGCGTTGTTTTCCCTTGTCTCTCTTTCCCACTATTCGACCCGTGAGTATCAAATTCTCCAGGCCCTCTTTCCTCATTATGTGCCCCAGCCGGTCTAGTAAATTCATAAAGTCTAGGTACCATAGCGAAGAGTGATATTTATTCGTATGATAATACAAAATGTGGCACAAGGCCAAAAAGGGGAATGGGGAAAGGAGCGGTCTTCTTTTGTCTTAACGTTAAACTTAGCTAGCCACAAACACTAATCCAAACATACAACAATATTCCTTACACCAAAACAATGCATTCTTATCTACCATTCTTACTTCATTCACTATAATCCCTTAGAAACTCCATGAAGTCCTAACTAGTCCCCATATGTACAATTCATTGTCTGTGAAAGGAGGGGAATAAAATAACAATTTAAAAACTAGCCTCAATACCATACCATAGCAAAAAGTTCATCTGAACAATTAGCACGAAAGGCAGAGAAAGCTACATTACGGCAGTGGGAAAGTGACTACAGCCGATACGCCAGGTCAGGACTAATAATATTGCTGATTATTCTTTGGATTTTATCAGGAATTTTTAAATATACAGCAGGAGCACTAGACCATATGTGGTAGCAATATCCAAAGCACGTATGAATGGCAGACTTATAAATATGTATTTAGATTCAGGAAAGAAATATTAGGTTGGTGCAAAAATAATGACGTAATAATGTCGTTTTTGGACGTATTTTTAACGTCTAAAAACGACATTATTACGTCATTATTTTTGCACCAACCTAATATTATCACGACCCAGTGAAGCAACTTTTCTAGCAGCAGACCTAGCAATTGATTCAATATAATCTTTCCACTTCATGTCAGCCGAGAATGTTAGCCTGGGAAGGCGCAACGAGTCACTTTCATGAAAGTTAGTATTTCCAGAGTTTTTGCACAGATCGTTCTGCGTTTCTATGCCATATCCCTTCAGGGTGAACACGGATATCTACAGCTTCCTGTTATTTATAGCTATAAGCAATGTTTGTCCCCTTACTATTCGTCCGAGTTCCCATACTGCCATCCATTTACACAAGCGATAGGTTACTTGCTGTTTCTATCTGTTCATCTTCCCTTCAATATATCCCGTGTGTGTCAAATTCTCCAAGCTTAACTTCTTCATTATGTGTCCAAGGAATTTCAATTGTCTCTTTCTGATACTAAGTGTAAAGAATGTTTTCGTTCTTATTTTCATTAAAACTTTCCCGTTGGTTATGTGTTCAATCCACGGCATTCTCAGTATCCTTCTGTAGAACCACACTCTGTCGCTTCAAGTCTTATCGTCATAAATAAGTGAAAATTGAAATTTCAGCATTCACTGACATATCGTGGGATAGATATTACATGGCAGATTCACTTTATTACAATAGATATTCACTTTCATTTTCATAAGTAAGCAATGCAAACATTATTCAACAAAAGACTTACATACCGTTTACAACAGTCTACTACAAAATACAATGACTTTTGTAAATGTTGGAATAGGTATTAAAAAGGAAATTTAAAGTCACTACGGTAGGTCTGATTTGATTGTTTAACGGCATATCAATTCCTTGTGAGTGTCATATAGGAATAAAGTGTCGCTGCTGACACTTGAGTTTGAACATAGATCGCCACTGTGCAAACACAGGCGATCCCATTGTTGAATTAAGTTTCCACGTGACCATAGAGGAAACGCATAAGTAGGAAATCGCGTGACGTCTAAATGATCTGTCTTTCTAGTCTATCCTCTGTTACTATTCGGATCGCTATTTCTAATCTATCCTCTATACTATACGAACCGCTATTCTCTATTCTATTCACCATACTATTTCTCGATTCGGGTCACTATACGGATTACTATTCGAGCGAGTATTATCGAGCAAGTACTATTAGTGCGAGTGCTATTCGAAGGCGTCTGACACCAGTATTGTTCAACGGCGTACTATAGTTGTATTTGCGATTACAAAGTCTCTACTACAACGAACATTACAAAAAGTGACAACGAGTATTCGTTGGCATCACAAAAGTGAGTTATTTAATGCCGAAATGAAATTTTCTTGGGAGCTTTGAAGTAATACAAATATGATATATGTTCTGCTTTCACAGTTGAATACATGGCAGATGATATTCAGCTTTTATGCATATACATGTTTATTCAGACGTGATTATTAGAGGCGGTGACGTGTGTTTTATATTCTAGTTTTGTTATATTTTATATTCTATTTATATTTATATATAGTTTATTAATATATTTATTTATAGTTTTGTGGTATTTTGGAATACAGTTTGACTTCTTTAAGAAATTGCAGGATATTATATGGATTAATATCATGAAAGAGTTATTTTGTGTTGGTTGATTTTATTTAACGGCATGTCAACCTCTATGGGTGAAGTCTAAATATTTTTAGAATGCTGAAGTCTAAATATTTTGAACGTAATTGTATGCTTTCAACTATAGATAAAATATATTGTTGGTAATTCTGCTAAAAATGTATTGTTGGTAATTTTACTATAAATAGGTATTTTTGTTAATATTTTATATAAAAATATATTGCTAGTATTTTTACTCTAAAAATGCATTTTTATAATTTCACAGTGTTTTGTTTTTGTTTGAGGTTTCAGTACTTGTCCATAGTTGGGACCCTGATAGTTATTACCACGTGATGCCGGATGTAGTTTATCGTCACTACGGTAGGCGCCCGATATCCGTTATTAGCTGCTGAAAATATTAGTCGAGCCAAAATTGTCATGAGTACAATGTCTTAATGCCTAAATGTTCATACGAGTCGCATTCCGGAATTTTTTAGATGTTTTCAGGAGAGACAGTGCTAATTGTCCGTGATTGTTGTAATTTTAGTATATCATTACTATACATCTAATAAGCTGACCTGCCATCTTTTGCTATTTCAAATTAAAAGAGACGGTTGTAACAGCTCTTTGCACACTCCCTACTAAACACCGACTCATAGCTGCCTAGTGTCGTACCACTAACATTTTCTACACAAACTGGATGTTGACGTTCGACGATCCAAAGCAAACTGCATAAATACGTTCTCTGTGCATTGGCTCCACGCATGCATCCGCTTTAACTAAAATAAAATGAACAGTATATTATGACCAGTCAGAGCCACTCCTGCTTAAAAAAAAAACAAAATCTTACTTTCGAGCTGATAGACTGCTATATATTCAAACAGAACATAAACAGATCAGCATTTGATGTCAACACCGCAACGGCGCGCTAAAAGAGAGTGGGGCGACACAGTGTTTGATGTCAACACCGACACACTGAGAGGGAAACGCCACCGACAACGACAACTAATGCTCATTTCACTTATCTTTTCACTATTCTTTCCCCCTGTTGCCTAGCAACAGCAACAGATAGAAGTTAGTAGTTTTTGTATATATGTAAATAAATTACGCATTTATTTACCCATACTCAACATCTTCTTTTGTTTGCCGCTTAGGTTTACATTTGCCGAGGCGGGGAAGAGATTTAACTCCACAATAGTAACAACAACAAAAAGGCTCTGTATTCTAGGTTACCCTTTTCCGCCTCCGCAACATTAACTTGCAAAATGCATTCGGGACGTGAATACAATTTGGAAGCTTGCTATGCAATAAAGTTTTGTGTTAAACTCGGTAAAAACGCTATACAAATGCTCCAGACTGATTAACTTGTATGAGGCAAGTATCTGTTTTTTTGCTGGCACAAGAGATTCAAGGGCGGCAGAGAGAAGGCGAGAGATGTAGGAGGAAGAAGGACGTCAGAACATCAAATATGGTTGAGAAATCTCGCAATTTTCTGGATAAAGACCGTCGTCTGTATATAACGACAAGCGTACATTTTGGAGTTAATGTGGCAACTATACAAAGAATTATTCATGAAGATGTGAATGTGCGCAAAAATTTGGGCAAAGTTTGATTCTAGGGTGCTCGGTGACGAACGAAAGACGCGCTGGTAACAGCAGGGAGATTATTGAGATCATTAACCCCAATTCAAGAAAACGTAAATCTCTGGTGGCCTGTGACGAAAGCTGGATCTACTGCTATGATCCAGAATATCAAAAGGCAGAGATCCCAAAGAAAACATCCTGTCTCTTCCATGCCCAAGAAGGCCAGGTGAAGTAAATCCATCGGGAAGCTCATGACGACCCCCATTTTCGACGCCATTATCTGCATTCATTGGGTTCCCTCTGGCCAGACGATTAACAAAAAAGTACTCTGGGAGGTTTTCAGGGAGTTCAAGTAGAGATTTTGTCGAAAAAGATTAGAACTCTTCCAATGAGGCGGTGGAACCTGAACCGGGGCAATGCACCAGTCCACAATTTTATCCTAGTAACCAACTACTTGACAGACATGGGCATCAAAAATATCCCTTACCGTCCTTACAATCCAGACTTTGCCACTTTTGGTTGTTCCCCAAATTGAAAGAGAACCTTAGCGGCAATCATTTTAAAGAAATCGAGAAGATAAAGGAGACTTTTTATAAAGTTCCTGGACACCTTCAATTTGGATGACTTCCATGGAGCCTATAGTGGTTGGAGTACTACAACAAGTGATTTGAAAGAGGACCTTACTTTGAAAAGGTTTAGAGCTTTGTACTTCTTTGAAATTAATAATGTCTCTTCTGGAAAAGTCTCAAACTTCTGGAATGCACCTCTTATGTACAAACAGGAACCTTTATTAAGCTTCAATGAAATTGTGACTTCCGGCTATATTACGTTGGAACACTGGTTCTCGTACGATCACCTAAGTTAAACAACGTCGAGCGTGAACAGTACTTAGATGGGTGACTATTTGGGAATACCATGTGCTGTAAGCTTGGATGTGCAGGTAGAGTAATAACGGCTCGGAATTGGAAGTCGGAGAGCCGAGTTCTAATTCCAGTCTGGTCCATTATATTCATTTACGCACTAATACCCTCGGGAAAGGTATGAACCCATCTATTATACCTCCAGTTATGGGCTAATTAACAGGACTTGTATCAGTAAATCCTTATCCCCAAAAACTTCTTATAATCTAAAAATATTTTCTGGCTTTCAATAACCAGCAAAACCGTAAAACACAAATCAATCAATGAAATTGTGATTGTTCGTGCGAACGGAGTTTTACTCATATATACATGAGTAAATTCTGGGTGAAATAATTTCTTCAAAATTGCTTCAATAAAACCTGAGACATTCATCTTGGGTATACGTAGAGGTACAAGTTGTTTAAATCTTTTAGTGCGCCGACGTCGCTACTAAAATTGACACAAGGTCAGTTTAACAGCAATACTGTGGGAAAATTGCTAAAGCTTCCTCGCCACTTCCCCTTCTGGGTATGTTTCAGGCAGCTAGTTGCGACCCCAGTCCCCTCCCCAAGGAGAGGTACTAACTGGGGGGATGGCACCTGGGACTTGAGGTAATATTATTTTGAAATTTTCCCGGATGAAGCCAAATTATTTAAGCGGCTATAATCAAGTGTCTGATATTTACATGAAATGAATATGTCTCTGTGGATGTCTGGTAGAGGAAGTTAAAGCTTTACATATTGTGCTAATGAAATTGATTATAGCATAATGTCGTCTTTTCGTGACTTCTGACAATAAGTGCAATGTTCGATGAATGATGTACGAGTGACATAACTTTCAAAACCTCTTCTGAATAGTGTCTGCTGTGAAGAGAAGGTGCATTACAGATGTCTTCGTTTGATATGGGCGGGTAAGCTTCTGACTGGTCAGAAAAAGGCGATTCATACTGGATCACTTTTTACGCATGCGTCCAGCCTATGCGAAGACGAGTTTAGTCATTTGTTAATTACCCGTTGTCTGTACTTTCGATATCGCTTCAAACGTTCAAAACTACAAGGAGGCGCTGAAAAATTCTCTTCTCGACTCTCTCTCTCTCTCTCTCTCTCTCTCTATATATATATATATATATATATATATATATAGGACGCTACGTGCTAACAAACAGTAATTTTAATTTATTTGTAACAAACAGTTATTTCTGATGAAAAATTGAGGACAATTTGAAATATCAAATATATATATAAATAAATAAATACTTTCATAAAATAAAACATTATAATTTTCAATTTGAAACTTTTTCTATATATACATATTAAGAAAGTATACGTGGCTTCTCATTATGCTATATATATATATATATATATATATATATATATATAGAGAGAGAGAGAGAGAGAGAGAGAGAGAGAGAGAGAGAAGAATATCGCACATTGAGTGCGAATGCTAATAAAATAGTGTTCGATATTGTAATGGGTTAACCAATAATCGGTGACAAATACAAACTAAACCGACCCTCTATTATTTTTACTAAATCAAATGCAACAAAGACAACAACAAGAGAAATAATCAAATAGGTAGATATTTGTTTTAACAGAAAATATTTTTATATAACAAGTACATACTAAAGTTTTTACAACTAGAATTCTTGGTTGTGTGATCAAGGGTAATATAAAAGGTCTTATGCTATGGATCTAGCATAGATAGGAATGAAACAGTTTATGTTGATGGTGAAATTGAATGAAATAGATTGCTTGAGTTACTGTAGAGTTGTCTCACTTCGACTGATATAGTTACGATTTCCTTTATATTGTTAAAATATTGAATAAGTTGGTTTCTGAATCTCGTCTTGTTTGAATTAGTCACTAAATGAGTTGATGTTGAAAAAAAAATTGAATTCCACAAGCCGGGTTGATGTTAATAAAAATTAACTTTTAGCAGGGAAGTTTGGTTTCATGGATTTGTGTGATGAGTTGATTGTTTTAAGGACTCACTAAGTCGAATCGAAGTTTCATATATATGAATTTTCTTGATCCCATGGGAGGCTCAAGAACATGTTTACATTTTTTGGTGTGTTGTATTATGAATAGGTCAACCGTACGGGCGTAGGCAGAAACATGATATTATTATTTATGGACCAACCAGAAAGCATTGTTTCGTACTAAACTCTGGAACCGATTTTAATGGGTTCAGCACAAACTGAGAATACCTAGCTGTGATCGTCTTTTAACAAGTTTAAAACAGAAAATGTAGAAATCTAATTCTACAATGTATAATAAGAGAGTTATTTGGTTAGATTTTAGGAGGTGGTCGTAAAAATGAAGAAAATGATTCCATTTAAAAATACAGATAATATTAAGCTGCTTATTTATAATAAATTGGACAAACGAATTTTTTAGAATAAGACATATTCCTTGTTGATAATCATTATGCTACTGCCACATCTCACATTTATTTTTAACAGACAAACAATATTCTTCACAGAATATTATATCACATTAGAAGTTTTCATGAAATTATTATATATGAGATTGTTAGAAAGTTAGTAATTATATCAGGCACACGAAGAAAACCAGAGGGTATGACAGTCTGAAACCTTATAAATATAACAACCAAGGTAAAGGTGACTAGTTTGAATAAATCAAAGTATGATAATATTTTATAAAGGTTTATTAAACTTTTTATGTAAGTTAAATAATTTTGAGGTGTAGAAATCGGATTTGTATTAAAGATCTCTACAAAATGTTATGTTAATTTGCCTTCATATTTTAAAGTCATTTTTACCTCAAGCAAAGCAACAAATAGACTACGATATAAGGGGTTACTGGGTGTGAAAGAATATGAAAAAAGAAAAACATAATTCAGGATAGAGAACAATAAAAAAATACAAGGATTAAGATGGCAGAAGATAATGATTAACATGCCATTTAAATTTTTCAAGATCTGGAAAACAAGAAGCTGGAAGAGAGTTCTACTATTAAGAAGTTCGAGGGAAGAAACTGTTAGCGTAGAACTTACGGTTACATCTAGCTATTCCAAGAATAAAATGACGAGACTTAGCTGCCAATCCAGTCAGTCAGTCATGTGCCACACGTTTAGACGATCATGTATCTTTTGATACATGACTGATGTGGCATATTTTTTTACGCAGTAGGTCGCTATTTTCTTCTGCGGTAGACTGGTTGCCAACCAAGGCTAAAGAACTCAGTCTGTTCTGCTATTTAACCCATAGCTGGGAGGAGAAGAGAAGGATTCATACCTTTCCCCAGGGTATTTATGCGTAATTGAATCTAGCGAATTGGAATTCGAACTCGGCTCTCTGAAAGGACCACTTGTCATCTCACATCATCTTGCGGCCTCAGCCGTGATTGAACTCACCAATACTTTGATTGGTGTAGTTCATAATCTGAATTCTTGATGCTTCGCTAGGGCTATCAAGGGTGTTTTTATCGTGACACCATCACTAAATGGATTGCCAACCAAGGCTGAGAGAGACTCCATTCACCCTCATCTAAGAGCAGGTTTGAATTCAGAGTTTTCCTTCTCCTAGACCAGTTGCCATCCAAGGCTATAGAACCCAGTCTGTCCTGCTATAGTTGCCATCCAAGGCTATAGAACCCAGTCTGTCCTGCTATTTACCCATAGCTGGAGGGAGAAGAAAGAGGATTCATACCTTTCCCAAGGGTGTTAGCACGTAAGTGAATGTAATGGATTCGACTGGAATTCGAACTCGGCTCTCCGATTCCTCAATCCAAGCCGCTATCCATTACTCCACCGTGCTTCCTAGATTCTTATAACTAATATCATTTGCACCTAGCTTTGCTACACTCTCATAAAAGAATCAGATTATCGTAAGGCAAATGTAGATTTACATAGTAAGGTATGTAGCACGTAACATTTTAAAAGAGATGTCCCCCCCCAAAAAAAAAAATAAAATAATAAAATAAAATCAAGCATATTAACTACAAACATCTGGTTCTTTTCTTTAACTGCAGTCCTTCAGCAAAAGAGATTGCTCCCTAGCACACAGATGATTGGTACTTTGAAAATTTCTCTCAAGTGTGAGAAGTTCATAAAGGCTTACATCAAGAGAAAGAAAGACTTAGAATGGATGAAAGAAACACCAGATCAAAACTCAGATCAAAACTTGTGCCAAGAAAGATACAAGAATTTCCTGCACTGATTCTTATACGTCTTTACAAAACTTACATTGCTTGCTGTTAACACACACACACACACTCACACGTACACACACGCGCGCGCGCACACACACACACACAGAGGTTTTCAAGAAGTTATACGTCTTTACGAAATTGCCTGTTGTCGATGTATACATGCATTTTCAATACGTATTTATGTATCTATACGAAGTTTACATTGCCTGCTGTTACCAGATATATACATTTACAAGACATATATACGACTTTATGAAACTTATTTTGCTTGTTTTTGACACACACACACACACACACACATATATATATATATATATATATATATATATATATGTATAATGAAAGGGATTAAGTTCAGCAATTATTTAATATATTTTGTGTTGAAGCGTTAGTTTTACAATTTATTTAAGTAAATGCTGTGTTTTGATTAAACAGTTTTAATTACATTTACCGGTCTAAATTTTCAAGAAATTTCGTAGAAAATATGCGTTCTCCGACAGAAATCGAACCTATATTCCTATATAGAAACCGCCATTTGATCTTATATCTATTTAGCTACGGAGATAACGATATATAAATTTATACATTAGGAGAAAGAAATATGATAAAGTGAAAACATTTTTCGTGTGACGCGTTTCATCTTTTAAGATTTCATCGGACCAAATTTATGTTTATGTTGATGCGACTACACATGATATATCTATATATATAAATATATAAAATATATATATATATATATATATATATATATATATATATATATAAATATGTGTGTGTGTGCGTGCGTGCGTGCGTGCGTGTGTGTGTGTGTGTGTGTGTGTGTGTGTGTGTGTGTTTGTTAAAAAGCTGTCGCTAG